AACAAATACCTTTGACATCCAATTTCTTTAACTTTATTCTCATGATAGCGTATCATAATTAACTATGTTTATATATCTGATACTACCTTGATACATGGCCAAAAACTAACCTCCACCTCCATAGTGACACTATATATGTATATATATCGCACATTTAGCTGTATTCAGTGCACCGAGTGGCAAACACTGATTTTTGGGAATCTAACACTTTGTTTTTCTACATACAACCATGCGGACGTCCGCTGATCTGCACATAGGAAAGATGCTTCTATTACATATAAATAGCTGCTGGACATTGGTGGAGAAAAGATTTATCCACAAAGGGCGTAGAGGCTTCTTTTCAGTCAGAGCGGGTAAATGTTGGAACTCGCTGCCACAAGCAGTGGTATCAGCAGAGAGTATTGCATCTTTCCAAAATCAATGAGATACCTTCCTCAGAGACCGTAACAGGGTTCACACCTGGGCGTATCGAATATGCGCATTTGTCGTGCGTTTGATGACGCACGTTTTTACCACGATTCGCTGTAAAAAACGCACGACAAATGCGCGTTTCCAAGGGCTACTTGGCTGTATACCAATGGAAACGTGCAACAAAAATGCCCCAAAGAAGCTCCTGTACTTCTTTGGGCGTAGGACGTTTTGTAGCGCGTTCATGCGGCCTGTAATACGCCCAGGTGTGAACCATACCCATAGGAAATAATGGGATTTCTGTGTTTGAGCGTTTTGCAGAGCGTTGGAACGCGCTACAAAACGCCCAGGTGTGAACCGGAGAGTACAGGTACTCTTAAATACTAGACCACACAGGGACTCATATGCACACGTTCACGCACTTACACACAAAGATTGAACTCGATGGACCTGTGTCTTTATTCAACCTCCAATACTATATAACTCTAACATTATGGGATCAGCCACTCACATGTAATGACACAGACACTGAATGATACATAGTACATACCCATCGGATGCCCTGGATGCTACTGGCAATGTCCTCTGATTTCTGGTCCACTTGGATCTCATAGGAGTAGCTCCTGAAGAAATGCATCTTGTTCCTGTGCCTCATGTCACATAAAGGCAAAATCTTCTGAGGAAGGGAGACTAAGGATAGCCCAGCAGTACAGAGGACCATGAGACAGACACTGGCAGATCCTACAAACCATTCAACTCTTCCCCTGATCCCAGTCACCTAAATACAACGTAAGACAAATGGGACTTTGTTGCTGTTCATTCAAAATAAGTCAATAAAACCCAACGAAAGCGTCTATGCAAAAGAAACACAACCCACATCATCTCCAGTAGACAATCTGGCCTGTCATGTGTTTAGTTGAGTGGAAGCAGGGGGACATTGTACAATATGGTTGTCTCAGGCAATGATCTAGTAACCAATTCCAGACAGGTACTCTATGGAGGATAAGCAGGATAAGCAGAAGTCTGCTTATCACTTTGTACAGAGGACCATGAGACAGACACTGGCAGATCCTACAAACCATTCAACTCTTCCCCTGATCCCAGTCACCTAAATACAACGTAAGACAAATGGGACTTTGTTGCTGTTCATTCAAAATAAGTCAATAAAACCCAACGAAAGCGTCTATGCAAAAGAAACACAACCCACATCATCTCCAGTAGACAATCTGGCCTGTCATGTGTTTAGTTGAGTGGAAGCAGGGGGACATTGTACAATATGGTTGTCTCCGGCAATGATCTAGTAACCAATTCCAGACAGGTACTCTATGGAGGAGAAATTAAAGGGCATCATCCTTCCAAATTCCTGGTGCTCCGCAACTTGGCTGTGTCAAGCAAGTTCCATTGTAGAGTGTCTGTGTGTGGTTCAGCAGAAGTCTGCTTATCACTGCCAGCAGTCTTGCCTCTTGAGACTAAAACTTAAATGTCACAGTCCCCTGTCAGGCTTGCAGACAATGGCAGTGTCCTGTTCCCAGCTTTGGCTCAGCGTCTGTGCAGTACAAATCTTCACTCTTTCACTTTTCAGCTTGCTGGTTGCCATCCACACTTCTTTCCAGGTTGCACCTACCACAACAATGCCCCAGGCACCTGCAGAGAAGCAGTCAGGCAGGTTTATGGGCTCCACACAGTGATGAGCCCCTGGTGATGTAGAAGGTGGCGGAGGCTGTGTGTGTCACCTTCCATGCATAGTGTGCAGGTAGTGCAAGTAATAGGAAGCTAGTAGCAGAGAGAGTGCAGGGCTGATGTTAGACTGTGAGAGGAAGCCTTGTACTCAGCCTTTCACTGCTACACAAACACTTGGCAGGTGACCTAAGAAGCAATGAAGGAGTGAACACTCCCAGGAGAGCAGGAGGGACATGGCTGGGGAGGGAGATAGCACTGGCCGAGGCGCACAGACGTGGGAGGAAAGGGCTGAATATAAACCAGAGAGTTACAAGATTTTCCTTTCTACACTGATTAGTATGGGAGTTATGATAACAAGCATACAACTACTTTATTAGTGTTTGTATTAAATTGTACTGAACTCATTTCCCTTCTGAAGTGGCAGTCCAGTCAGTAATGTCTCCATCTGGATGTACACTTCTCAGTCATCAATGTTTTGCATGTTGTAGACAAGCATTGGGGTATGCCGCACAAGGGTTTTGCTGCGCTTTCTGTACGCCAGTTGCTTTATACAGTATTCCATGTTAAACACAACAATACACATGTGTATTTTCCCAATACGTTAAAACAAGGAGATTGAGGTTGGTGTTTTACGGCACAGGGCTGCAGGTATTATCATAGGGGCTGCCCCATATTAACCCTTCCTGTATCCTTCCACTAACCCTAACACTAACCCTCACACCAACCATCCCTCTAATCCAACACTAACTCTCACATTAACCATCCCACTAATTCAACACTAACCCTTACATTAACCTTCCCTCTAATCCAACACTAACTCTCCCATTAGCCATTCTTCTAATCTAACATTAACCATCCCTCTAATCCAACACTATCCCTAACATTAACCATCCCTCTAATCCAACACTATCCCTAACATTAACCTAAAAAAACACATCCTTGAGGCAGGGCTGCATGA